GATCACTGTGGTCTCTTACCTACATTTCTAACTTGTCTTCCCTGTGGATTAGAAAATGGTGGCCTATAGGTCCCAGGGCTCTGTGTTTTTCATTCATGTCCAGCAGGATAATGAGCAACTCTCATTGTTCTCAGTAAAAGCCCTAACATTCCATGCTATTTGCATGAGCTTAGGGTTTAAGCCTATTCCTAAAATTTCACTGTGGCCAGAGGCATGGGAGGTAATGATTGGCTTAGCCTTGGTCCCTATATTTTATTCTAGAATGGGACCTGTAGCATATCATGGGTCTTCAGATCCTACCCGGTGGGGCTGGCTGCCTCTAGGGTTCCCTGCAGTCTTTAAGTTCTGAGCTTTGTTGGTTCCCAGTAAGGTAATGGAGCAAAGTGCAGGGCTTGCTGAGGTCTGCCAGTTAGGATGAGCCTTATTTTGATGTGGAAGGACATATTTCAACTCCTCTAAGAAACCCATATGGCCATCTTTGCACATGTCCTTGGCATGATTCCTTTTACAGGAGGAGTAATTTGGCTCAGATTTGTGGGTTTGTTTTCATTGCTTTTTACTAATAGTTTTCATAGCATCTGCTTCCTAACACCTTCTGGTGTTTGTATATCATCAGAGCTAGTTTTAGGAAGGTGGAGAATGGTCTTTATGCTCTGTAAGAAATAAAGCTGGGCATGGATTTTGGAGCTTGGCAGACTTTTAAGCTCACTTCCTGCTGTGTATATAAGTCCTTCTATGAGTCTGGGCATCATTTTTTTCATCTGAAAAATAGGTGCCTAGGATACCTGCCCCACAGGGTTGTCATGAGACTCAAGAAAGATGATGTCCATGGAGAACCTCCTGATCCAAATCATGTCAAGCTCAGTGGTCTGCTCTTCAGAGAAGCCTTACTCTCCACCCCTCTAAAGTAGCCCACAGCCATCCTGTGTACTCTTTGCCATGTCACACATTTATTCATGCCATTTCATCTAAAATAATTTCATTTGTCGTCAGTTTCCTCCTGCCAGAATATGAGGTTTATGAAAGCAGGACACATGCTTCTCTTACTCATCGTAAGTTACTGTTGTGAGCAACTGGGGCTCAGTCCTGCCAGGGAAGTCTAGGAGATGGTGTAGAAGAGAACTCAGCTTTCTTCCTGCTGAAAGGAGAGGGATTTGGGGTATTTGTCCACCAACTCTCATCAGTCATTGGCCAAGGGCTTCTCCTAGGAGGTGTTAATAACCCGATTCTTTGGCCTGATATGTCCACAGCAGAATAGGCCTGTGTCTTAGTCCATTTGTATAGCTATAAGGAACACCCATGGCTGGATAATTTATAAAGAAGAAAAGACTAATTTGGCTCATGTTTCTGGCGGCTGGAAAGTGTGATTGGGCATCTGCGTTTGGTGAGGGCTTCAGGCTGCTTCCACTTGTAGTGGAAGGTGAAGGGGAGCTGGGTGTGCGCAGATCACACGGTGAGAGAGGAAGTGAGGAGTGGGGCGTGGGTGGTGGTGGTGATGCCAGGCTCTTTAACAACCACCTCCTGAAGGAATTAACAGAGTAAGAACTCACTCAGCCCCAAGAGAGGGCCTTCATCTGGTCCTGAGGGATCTGCCCCCATGACCCAAACACCTTTGCTTAGGCCCCCTTTCAACATTGGAGATAAATGTCAACATGAGGCTTAGAGAGTCAAATACCCAAAACATAGCGGGCTGTCATGGACACACTCTGTGATGGTTAGAGTCACAGACAAAAACTCTCGGGTGATTGCACTTGGCAGCAGTTGAGTCTACCTGCAGGGTGATGGTGAGCACCAGGGGGATTGGGCAAAGTGGCCGTAGCACCTTCTGCACAGTTAAGTCCCCATCTGCAGGTGTGATGGTGAGAATTTGTTGGACAGTTCAAGAGGGGCAGGATCCCTCCAAGAAGACAAGTGGGAGATGAGGCCAGTACCCTATCATTGCTGCAATGTGTCCTGTCCCCGCTGTTCATTAGGACAACCATCTCCCTTTCTGTTGTTTATCCATCCGAGGACTACTTTTAAAACCTCCTTCCGGCTGGGCACGGTAGCTCATGCCTGTAATCCCAGCACTTTGGGAGGCCAAGGCGGGTGGATCACGAGGTCAGCAGATCGAGACCATCCTGGCTAACATGGTGAAACCCCGCCTCTACTAAAAATACAAAAATTAGCCCGGCGTTGTGGCAGGCGCCTGTAGTCCCAGTTACTCGGGAGGCTGAGACAGGAGACTGGCGTGAACCCAGGAGACGGAGCTTGTAGTGAGCCGAGTTCGCACCACTGCACTCCAGCCTGGGCGACAGCGTGAGACTCTGTCTCAAAAAACAAAACAAAACAAAACTCCCTTCCACAATGAATTCTCTCTGAATATCTAAGCTGCTGATTTTCCTCTCAGTTTTAAGTGCCCAGGGCTGATGCTGGTGTCTTACTCATGGTTTGCCTAACACATGGAGAGGGGTACCAGTCCTTCCTCTCCTCTAGAGCAGGAGTTTGCAGCCCTAGGTGTACATTGGAATCACCTGGCAAGCTTTTAAAGCATACTGATGATCAAGGCCCCACCTCTAGATATTCTGATGCAATTCATTTGGGATAAGGCCCAGGCATTTGGCACTTCAAAAAAATTCCCCTACTCTGCTCCCCAGGTGATTCTGACATGCAGCCAGTGGGGAAGGAAGGGAGCCACTGACCTAGATCTTTTTTTTTTTTGAAACAGAGTTTTGCTCTTGTTGCCCAGGCTGGAGTGCAATGGTGCGATCTTGGCTCACTGCAACCTCCACCTCCCAGGTTCAAGTGATTCTCCTGCCTCAGCCTCCCGAGTAGCTGGGATTACAGGCACCTGTCACCACACCTGGCTAATATTTGTATTTTTTAGTGGAGATGGGGTTTCTCCATGTTGGTCAGGCTGGTCTGGAATTCCCGACCTCAGGTGATTCGCCAACCTCGGCCTCCCAAAAAGTTGGAATTACAGGCATGAGCCACCACTCCCGGCCTGATTTAGACCTTATACAGGCACCTGAGACAGGCATCTGAAAAGATCAGAGGTATGTCCAGCTTCAGAAGCAGCTTGATCTAGCAGATCAATGATGTCATGAAAGGCTCGTTACTGCTTGCTTTTTTTTTTTTTTTTTCCAATCTCTCTGCCTTGCCTCATGTGATGTCTGGCTTATTAACCCTCTGATTATTAGATAAACTCAGAATTCCTAAATAGTTGCTGGCATGTCTTAGGGCTGTGTGCGTTCTCATTCATGTCCGGTGAGGGAGGACATCTTTGTCTCATCATTCCCAGCACAAGTTTGGAGAGATTCAGGTTGTTTGAACCAGTGTGGGTCTCAAGCCTATCCCTGAATTGATCCTTGTGGCCAGGGGCATGGCTCAGACCATGCACTTCATTCCCAGCTCTAGATGTGTCAGTTTGCCACCTTAGCCCTGTGTGCCCAGTACACCCACCTGGGTGGCCTCTAAAGAATTCTGATGCCCAGGTCCCCACCTTCGGGGATGTTCCTTCAGTTGGGCTGCTGTGGCACCCAGGTGTTTGCATTGTTCAAAGTTCCCAGGTGATTCTGATGTGCAGCCAGGATAGAGAACATACATCTTGCAGATACAGGGTAGACATCATACAGCCTCAAGATGCAGGCTAGGACCCCATATGGGAAAAGTCTCGGGAACAGGTCCTCTCCTGGGCCTAAGTGGATGCCTTGCTGGGGACCAGCCACGTGCCCAGAAGCCTTAAGGGACCACATGGCTACATGCAGGAAGCCCAAACAGAGGAACAGGTCTGGACTATCCAACAAATTCTCATCATCACACCTACAGTTTCCAACCATAAGAGGCAGCAGCCAATGGCCATCTGAGTGAGATGTGTCATGAATGCAGGAGATGTTTTGGTGGGCTGCCCCTGCCAGTGACCACGGCTGCCTGAGACATTTCCCTTCTCTGCATCTCTTTCCCTATCTGTTACACAGACTCAAAGAATGCTGATGCCTCTCTGAACTGACTTCAGATGAATGAGATTTGTGGGAAGTATCCTCATCCTTGGGGTGAGGCAGAATCCCCTTATAGGAACGGTCTGTGATAGAGTGAGAAGAGTTTCGTCTCCCTATGGAGTCTCTATCAGCTGTGCTACCTTACGCAGGTCCCCCTTACCTCTCTGAGCTTCAGCAACCTCTTCTGTACAACCAGGACTCTACTATCTGGAATGCCCAGGACTCTACCATCTGGAATACTCCACATGAGCATGAAATAAGATAATGTATATAAAGCCCCTAGTGCAGCACCTGGCACAAAATAGGGCTTCAGTGAATTGCTTTCCTTCCCAGAATGCTACTGTTAGCTTTTAATCTTTTAAATGTGATGTCAAATGGGGAAACCAAGACCCACAGTGTTCAACATGAGTAATCATTTGCTGGTTATAGGCTGAAGCTGCGCGATCATCCTGTAGACCCTAAAATCTCTCAGCAGGAGGCCCTGTTATCCTCTTCATCTCTGCACTCCCACTCACACCACAGGGGCTCCAGACTTTTCATATCAGAGGGTCTTAGAGGTGGCAATCTTTTTGGAAGCAAAGTGTTGTGAAGGGTCTTGTCTTGAAGTTGCGTTTGTATTTGGGTCGGATGTTTGCTGGGGATGGCTTGGGGGCTGGGGAGAATGAAGTCACTGCCTGGCACAGGCCTGGCACAATGTAAGTACAGTTGACCCTCCGACAATATGAGTTTAAACTGCATGGGTCCACTTACATGCAGATTGTTTTCAACCAAACATGATAGAAATTGCAGTATTTCTAGGATGTGAAACCTACATATATGGAGGCCCAAGTTTTTGAAAACACGAGTTCCTCTGGGCCGGCTGTGGGACTTGAGTATCTGCAGATTTTGGTATGGGGAGTCCTGGAACCGATCCTTCACACATACAGAGGAACAACTGCACTAATAATTGGACGTCAAGTGAATGGACTAGCCTTCCCTTTTCACAGCTTACCTCTCTTACCTAATGGAGTCATGAAGAAGTGATTGAGAGTGTAAGAAATAGTTCTGTTTATTGGTTAGAACATGGTATAAAATTACAGCAATTTGCAGGCATTCTGGACTTCTCGGGAGGGACATGCAGCGCTGGGCTCAAGCAGGGGATGTGGTGGAGATATGGACCACTGGGCAATGGCTCACTTCCTAGACATATTAAAGGACTTGCACTACCAGCACAAATGCCAGTGTGAGAGAATTATTGGTCCTCGTTTCTGGAAACAAATGACATGGGCAGTTTGGGTCATCAGAAAATGCCACACTTAATAATTCAGTCCTATCCCACATATATTAGGTGCTGGCTCTCCCAATCTGGTTATGACAGATCCTAATTGTTCTGGATAACTCTCATTCTTCCCACCAAAGGAAGAGAAACAGGCACATTGGTTTGGGAGGCCATCAGATGATGGTGTGCATCTGGCTCAGGTCCTCTTGCTTCCAGATTCACCAAAGTTTGCCTGACTTGGAGGCAGTGGGCTGGGGGCATGTAAGCAGAATATTTTGTGCACTACTGTTTAAGCTCAAGCAGAGGGACCTTCCATAGGGCAGTAGTGTGAGAAGATGAGCATGCTTCCAAAACAAACTCAAATTTCATCTTGTCTCTCTCAAGAAGAAGAAGGAGGAAGAGGTGGCAATCAGAGACTGAGCCACATAATGCTGGGTTCCATAGAAAGTCTTCAGCAGAGAATTCTTCCAAAGTGTGAAAGGTGTTTCTGTCCCAAGAGTTGGTGTGTAAAATCAGAACGAGGGCAGATCAGGGTGTTAAGGTGGTTGTTTAGTACAATGTCTCTGAGAGCTGAATGGCTGAGTGTCACCAGTTACATGACATTTTGAAACAGCTGGAGAGACCTCATGATGTTGTCATCCTGGGAGAAAAGGAGGGGAAGAGGATGGTTAGAACTCTGAGTCCCCTCCCTGAGAGTTCTGTAACTCTGGTGAGCAAATCTCAAGCATGGGTTTCCTATATGGGGAAAACTCTACAAGGGTATGAAAAACAAGAAGTAAGGATGGGGACATAAAAAGTGATCAGCTCAAAGTAAAAAGCATCACCTGTAGCCTTAAAGAGGAATTCAGAAGAAACAAATCATCTAGTAAAATAGTGAGTTCTTTTAAGAAGCTCTGAACAATTACATTTCATAAAATTATTTTTATACATCCACTGAAATGATTATATTTTTTCCCTTTTTATTCTATTAATGTGATTAATTACACTGACCAATTATGAATGTTAAACCAACCTTGCCTTCCTGGAATACTGCTTTAGATTCTACACATTTTGATAAGTCATATTTTTATTTTATTTTTGATTCAAGATATTTTCTTCTCTGAACCATGAATTAGAAGTTTATTGCTTAATACCCAACATTTGAGGATTTTTCTACATTCAATACTATACCTCAGAGAATAAATAATAGAAAAATGTAAAATACAGAACATGCAATGGAGACATACAATAAGAAAACCCCCCAAAGCTCTCTCTTTCAAAAAAATCAATAAAGTAGATAAATGCTTATTAAGACTGCTTTTCAAATTATCAATATCAGAAATGAAAAGGTTAATGTCAGTATAGGCTTATTTGGCTCATTATTCTGGCAGATGGAAAGTTTAGTTGAGCATCTGCATCTGGTGAGGGTTTCAGGCTGCTTCAACTCACAGTAGAAAGTGAAGGGGAGCTGGGTGTGCAGAGATCCCATGGTGAGAGAGGAAGCAAGGTTGGGGGTGGGGAAGGTGCCAGGCTGTTTTACAACCAGCTCTCAAGGGAACTAACAGAGTGAGAACTCACCCCCAAGGGGGTCAATGTTCATTCCATTCTAGTTGTTAAATATCTTGGATATCACCCTGCATATAGGACATCTACATAACAGGGTGGCTGTGATGTTTATGTATGTGCTTGAAACTTGGTGGGGGCTCAGTATGTGCTAGTAACTTCTCCCCTGCTTTCTTACATTTGCTATTCTTCTTGGCTGGAGTGCAGAGTAACTGTGTACATTTTTAAAATAATGTAGGGGTACAAATGGATTTCTCAAAAGTAGATGAAGCAATTACTTCCAGTTCAGTCTCTGGGGACTCTGGGGCTGGTCTATTGGTTAGACTTAATGAAAGTTGTGTTCCCAGGACCAGCATCGCTGGTGTGACTGGGGAGAATGTGAGAAAAGTAACATTTCAGGCCCCACCCCAGACCTACGGACTTAGAATCTGCATTTTAACAAGATCTTTAAGGATATTGTTTCACACATTAAAGTTTTAGAAGCCTTGGTCCAGGGCATTTGTGTTAAAGTGACCCAGATCTAGAGTCTCTGGGATTGAGGCCTGGAAATATACATTTTCAGAATCATTCCAGGCAATTTTTATGCACACTGTGGTTTGAGAATCACACAGTTGTAGATTCCCCACCCTGCTCCCAGCTGCTTCCTTGTTGTCTGGGGAATGGGTCATCAAGCCAGAGGCAGGCTAAAAAATAATGGTGTTGCCCTCTTGGGAAGTCTATTTTCACAGAGACCCCCTGTGAGTTTTCACATCCACATCCCCCCAGACGCCTACTTAGGCTCTCTGTTCAGTCCTGTGCTTAGCCAAGACCAACCACAGGCCAGGCTGAGGAGTGGAACTGCTGGACTTCACAGTTGTTGCTAGTGTTGTTGGCTCTGATAGGAGGGGTTGCAGGTATGTGCAGGTTTCTCGTCACCTTCCTTCTGCAGGTCCCCAGGCCCCAGGTTTCCTTTCCCAGATGTAGAATTGTTGTGCCCTGAGATCTCTCCTTACCTCCTGACATGATTCAAGAAATTCATCTAAAGTTACGATGCCATCTTTATTTTTGTCCATTTTCTGAAAGACAAAACAGAAAGAACTTTATGGAATCTGGTGATCTCCATTCCAAAGCTTACTCCCCTGCTTTCTTGCTGGAGCACATTTCATTCATTGCATTAACCAACTTTGCCCTGAGAATGAGAGTTGTCTTTCACTGGCCAGACAACTCCAGTTAGGTCCTCATTACAACACTTTGACCCCCGTGAGTTTCCTTAAATCAAAAGACTTGCTCTGGACACTCATCACCTCACTGCTGGCTTATTCTGCTTCTTCTGTAGACTCCCTGCTACCCTGTCCCTCTGGCAGAACACTGGGCACAAGAGGTTCTGATTCTGGCCTGTTACTTGCTGTACAAACTTGCACAAGGCCAGAGAGGATTCTCTTTTCCCATCTGCAAAGTGGGAAGTTGGGCTAGAGTGAGCTCTGATATTCTCTGATACTCTACCACTAGACAATTTTTTCCTAAAATGCCCCAATGATCATACCACTCCCTTAGTCAAGGATCAGCAGTAGTTGCCCATCCTGCACCAGAGCAAGGCCAAACTCTTGCAGTTAAGGTCTCATAATCTGGCCCTATCCTAGTTTCCAATCTTGTTTCCCCTCACTACCCAGACACAAATGCTTAGCACCTCCACAATTGTAATTAGTGAAGTCTTTCGTGTTTACTCCGATCCCCTAATTTTTATGGATTTAGAGTTCATACTATACCACTAATATTTAATAATATACTTTCTTGTTCTCTTCTGTCATGTACACTTACAGCTTAAGGAGATCATCTGTTTCTTGAGGACAATGTATCTGATAGTTCTTTTCAGTTTCCAACCATGCTTAGTACAGGGTTGGACACAAATCACTTGCCCAGATGCTCATGGGTTGACTTGATCTAGGCTGGGCTTACAGCTCACGTGCAGGGTGTGTGCACTTACCTGGAAGAAGACGTCCACATGCTGCCTTGGAGTGTCCTCTTTGAGCACAGGATATGTGTATTTCCCCATCATGTCATAGATGGCTTTGACAATGTCCATCATCTCCTGGAGCAGGGACATAAAAGCACACAGTGTGGGGACCAAGAGGTCAAGCTCTTCCGAGGCGACAGAGTTTGGGGCTCCTTGTGTCCCTTGGCAATGAAAGTGATTAAAAGGTGAGGTCCTTCTTTAGCAGGTGATAGGGAGTTAGAAAGCAAGCAGAAGGGGCTATATTGTGGGAGCCCTTTTAGGGAGGAGATGGTAGACAATCCTTAAAGCCCGCAGAAGCTCATGGGTAGGTTACCTCATTACGGGCATTGTTTTCAGTGCAGGGTGATGTGTGGGATCCCCATTCACAGGCTTGAGGCAAATAAAATATTATTCTGAATTTTTAAAAAGTGAATGTTCTAGCCTAGAGATTTGAAAATCCCCATAGGTTCTGCCACTGTTTTAAGTTAAGAAAAATGAATCAACAGCCAAGATTATCCACAGGGCACATGAGGCCAGTAGTTCCACAGACTGAGGCCCTTATTAAAAAGATCGGTTCTCAAGTGCACCCCAAACCTATTGAACCAGAGCATCTTAGGACTCGGTCCTGTGAGTTTCCATGTTTATCAAGGTACATTAGGAACCATTATTCTGATCGTTCTGGCACAACTCAGAATGGGGATAAAAGAGCGTTTGGGATGTTTGATGTGGTTTCTACAGAGATCCAGGAGACAGTCTGATTCCATGTGCTTATTTTATTTTATTTATTTTTGTTTAATTTCACCTATTAATTTTAGACTTACAGAAAAGTTACAAAAATAGTACAGAGAGTTCATGCATACATTTCACCCAGTTTCTTCTAATGTTAACAACTTGCATAACCAGAGCACAATGACCAAACCCAGGAAATTAACATTACTAGACTATTATTAACTAAACTACAGGGGTTATTCAAATTTTATCAGCTTTTCAACTAATATCTTTTTTTCCCTTCAATGATTCTACATTGCATTTATTTGTTGTGTCTCTTTAGTCTCTTCTAATCCGCATGAGTTTCTCATTCTTTTTTTTTCTTTTACCTTTTTTTTCTTGACACAGGGTCTTGCTCTGTCATGCAGGCTGGAGTGCAGTGGCACAATCCTGGTCACTGCAGCCTTGGCCTCCCAGGTTCAAGCAACCCTCCCACCTCAGCCTCTCAAGTAGCTGGGACTACAGGCAAGTACCACCACGCCTGGCTGATTTTTTGTAGAGGTAGGGTTTTGCCATGTTGCCCAGGCTGGTCTCAAACTCTTGGACTTAAGTGGTCTTCCTGCCTCTGCCTCCCAAAGTGCTGGGATTATAGGCATGAGCCACTATGCCCAGCCTGAGTTTCTTTCTTTCCTTGTCTTTCAGGACCTCACACTTTTGATATGAGTACAGGTCAGTTGTTTTGTAGAATATCTCTCAATTTGAGTTAATCCTTGGTTTGGTTATGATTAGATTGAAGTTATGCATTTTTGGCAAGAATATCACAGAAGTGATGTTATAACCTTCTCAGTGCATCATATCAGGGAGTTACATAGTGTTGAGATGTCTTATTACTGATAATGTTAACCTTGATCACTTGATTAAGGTGGTGTCTGTCAAGTTTCCTTGCTGATTTAGTATCTTTCAGTGGATCTTGCCTATAAAAATTATTATTGCAGTGTTTGCCTGATGGTAATTTTGTATTGCCTTTATTCCTTCTATATTTATTAATTAAAATTCTTCTGTAAGGAAGAGCTGCCTTCTCTCCTGCATTTATGTATTCAGTTATTTATTTATATTACAATGGACTCACGGACATTTACCTATTTTATAGGTTATAATCCAATACTTAATAATTTTTAACTTTGCTCAAATCGCTCTCATTTTGGCTGTTGAGAACTCCTTCAGGTTGACTCCTGCAGTTTTTATTATTTTTTATTTTTTAGCACTTTCATACTTTCCAGCATGATAAAGTACTCCAGGCTCATCTTGTATTTTCTCTTACCCAATCTTGGAATCAACTATTCTCCCCAAGAAGACTGGTTCTGTTTATTGACGAACGGTATTTAGAAACCAAGGTCTAGGTGCTAGGTGTGATCACTGCTACAGGGATGTCATTGCTCTGAGGTGCCCTCAACAGATAGAACGAGGAAATACATGTCTCTATCCATGTGTTTATTTTTAAATGCGTACTTTACAAGCCCTTCACATCTACATGGCCACTGATGCTTTTCCTGTCTGATATTTTTTTTAAATCACAGAAAGGGCTTAAAGAACAATTTTGTTGCTCTCTCAGGATTTTCATAGCCTACAACTTGGATGAGATTATCTCCAAATGATTGCTAAGGGAAGAGCCTGCTGTCTTTTCTAAGAAGCTACTTATCCATGCTTTCTTTTTCTTTAAGGGGTACTTTATTAATTCTGCCCTCCAGAGAGGTCTGATGGATTAATGGGGACAATTCTGCCTCGTTTGCAAATTACAAAATGGGAGTAGGAGCTAGTAAGTTTATTCAGTGATGGAATAATGAGTGAACCAAAGTTGAAGACCAAGTAGTATAAATCCCACTTCTGTATTTTTTTCTTTATATATTTTGCAAGGTAGTATTTGAATATTTTAGAGCATCATATGTTTGCATGTGTATATAATCATTTAGTTGTTTACAAAATTGAGATATACATATCACTTTATCAAGTTATTTAAAAATGTAATATATCATACTAATGTTTATTTTACATTACTTTTTCATGATTTTAAGTGGCCACTGGCTATTCCGTTTTATGTATTTACTGTAATTCATTTTACAAATCTGCTATTAGTGGCTATGATGGTTATCACATTTTGGGGCACTATTACCTGAAGACTCTTCTTGCTTTTACGTCTTTGCGTCTATTCTTTATTTCCTTGGGACATATACCAAGATGTGGTTTTATAAGGAGAATGGGATGCATAACTTTCAATGCTTTTGATACATATTCCTCAAATACCTTTTAGAAAGTTTATATCAGAACACTCTCAGCAACTATGTATGAAAAACCACTTTCCACCAGCCTTCAACAAAGACTTTACAAAATCTTTGCAATTTAATAGATAAGTGATAATTCATTGTTTTTAAAGGTAAACATTATTTTCTTAGTGAGGTTTCTAATATATGTATTGACTATTTTTATTTATTTTCCCATGAACTATTTTTTCATCTGCTTTGCTCATTGTATTCATCTATTTCTGATTGGATTGTGAGAGTTGTTTATATATTTGTGTAGATTTACTAAATTGTTAAAATCTCTTAATAGGTTTTTAATTTATTTAAAAGATATTTTTATGCATCTACCATGTGCTAGATATTGTGTCAAAGAAATACAAACATAAGCACGATGAATATGACTCTTGCCTTTGTTAAGATGAATGTCTACTGAGGAATATCAATCCTTTCTCTCATCATAAATTGCAGATTTTTAAAAACAAGTTTGTCACTTGCTTTTCAACTTTGTTTATGGTATTTTTTGATATACAGAATTTTAAAATATTTACAGCGTAAAGCCATCAATAATTTAAAAACTTGTTTCTAACTTTGATTTTATGGTTTTTCCATTCTATGATCAGATATTCATGTATGATTTTTAGTTCTTTTTAGTTAAAAAACAACTGTACATATCTATAGTGATTTTGGGTTTATGGTACTAAGTAAGAATATTTACTTACTTGTTGCCAAAATAGTTAACCAGTTTTCCCAGAATCATTTAATGATTCATTACCTCTCTATTCAATACGCTATGTTTATTATAAACCAAGATGGTATTTGTACTTGGGATTTCTATTCTGTTCCATTGATCTACCTGTTCCTTCTCTGATATTATAATATTTTAATAGTTTCAGCTTTATAATATATTTCAGTATCTGGTAGAACAAATCCTACCATTTTTCTTCTTTTTGAAAATTATCTTTGCTGTTCTCACCTGATTAATCTTCCAATGTAACTTTATAACAATTGTGCCAAATTCCCTCCCCAAATAACACTTTCATTCAGATTCAAAATAAAATAAATTTAAAGTTAATTAGAGAAGAATTGCTGTCATTACAATATTGCTATCTTTATAATATACATTCCTTCAGAAGATGGTATGTTTCTCTACTTATCAAATTTTTCTTTCTCTTCATCTAAATTATGGATATTTAAAAATGCCCATGTGCTTTAAATTTTATTGTGATTACAATGAGAATATTTTTATTACAATTTTCTAGCTAGTCACAACTGATATATTGGCCACACAATTTCTTTTGTGTATGTATTTTATTACCAGTCACTTTGGCAGCTTTTTAAAAGTTCTAGTTGTTTTAAGTAGATTTTCTTGCTATCTTTTTTCTTAGATAGAAAATCATGTCATTAATAAGGAATGTTGTAATTTTTCGTATTTAGATTGCATTTCTTTTTCTGTTTCACTATATTTGAAGAACTTTCAAGAAATGTTAAACAGTTGTGATGTCTGACAGCTTGCACTCTTGCCTCGTCTTTTCTTCAGTGAGAATCTCTGCGTGTTACCATAAAGTATGAAGCTGTGTACTAGGCTAGGGTATTTTCCATTATGCTGAAGATGTATTTTATTCCTAATTAATTGAATCTTGAAAATTATTATGAATAAATGGTAAATTATATCAAATACAATTTTAACATCAAATGGTTTAATCTTTTGATATATTAATATGATAAATTATTTAATATGCTTTATCTGCTACTGGGCTATTCCTGCATTCCTGGAATAAACCTTATGTTAGTCATGTGCATTTCTTTATTTTATTTTATTGCTTTTTTGAGGAAGGGTCTTGTTCTGTTGCCCAGGCTGGAGTACGGTGGAGTGATTATGGCTCAGGGCAGTCTTGAACTCCTGGGCTCAAGCTGTCCTCCTGCCTCAGCCTCTGGAGTAGCTGGGAGCACATGCACGTGCCACTACACCCAGGTAATTTTTAAATTTTTATTTTGAAGAGACAGGCTCTCCCTATGTTGACCAGGCTGGTCTTGAACTCCTGGGCTCAACCCATTCTCCTGCCTCAGTTTCCCAAAGTGTTGGGATTACAGGTATGAGCCTTTAAACAGAACACTGGGATTAATTTCCTATTATCTCATTTAGGATTTGTAATCTATATTTTGAATGATATTGAGTTCTTATTTTCTCTTACCTGCTTTATTTCATAGGATTTTTTTCCTTTAACACATTTTTTTGAGTGTCTTCTATTGGTTAGGCACTTCCGCCTTACACCAAGATTTTCAACAAATAAATTGAATTTATTGGAGCATAATTTACTTATAACAAATTCACCAATTTTAAGTGTACTGTTTGAAGAATGTTGACAAATGTATCCACCCATGTAACCTCCACCACACTCAAGGTATAGAACATTTTCACAACCAAAAGACATCCCTTCACACTTCTTTGCAGTAAGTGCCTCTCAACCTTTGATGCCAGGCAACCACAGATCTAATTTCTGTTACTATAGATTAGTTTGAATTTTCTAAAATCTTATGTAAATGGAGTAAAACAGTGTAAACTCATTTGAGTCTGGCTTCATTCACTCAGCATGAGGTTTATGAGCTTCATGCACATTGCTGCATGCAATTATAACATTCCTTTTTACTGCTGAGTAAGAATCCATTGGATGAACAGACTACAATGTATTTACCCATTGTCTTGTTGACAGACATTTGGGTCGTTTAAGTTTTGAGATTACTATGAATAAAGCTGCTATGAACATCTTTGTACAAGTCTTTATGGAATTACATATTTTTATTTTGGTGAGTAAATACCCAGGAGTGGGACTTCTTTTCTTCTTTTTTTTTTTCTTTTTTTGAGACAGGGTCTTGCTCTGTCACCCAGGCTGGAGTGCAGTGGTGCAATCTCAGCTCACTACAACCTCTTCTCCCCAGGGTTAAGCAATTCTCCCACCTCAGCTCCCTAGTAGCTGGGACCACAGGTGCTTATCACGTCTAGCTTTTTGTTGTTGTTGTTTTTGTATTTTTAGTAGAGACAGGGTCTTGCCATGTTGCCCAGTCTGGTCTTGAACTCCTGAGCTCAAATGATCCACCTGCCTCAGCCTCCCAAAGTGCTGGGATTATAGGCGTGAGCCACCATACCTGACTGGAATGGGATTTCTGGGTTGTATGATAAGTTCATGTTGAGCTTTATCAAAGATGCCAAAATGTTTTCCAATATGCTTGTACCATTTACATTTCTGCCAGCTATCTGTGAGAGTTTCTATTGCTCCACATTTTTGCCAATGATTGGTATTGTCAGTCTTTTTAATTGTGGCCATTCTGTGCAGTTGTATTTCATTATGGTTGTAATTTTCATTTCTTTGAAGACCAGTGATATGGAGGAACCTTTCATGGGCTTACTGGCCAACCTTTTATGGGCTCACATATCTTCTTAAGTATCTCATCAAATCTTTTGCCTATTTTATATGAAGTTATTTATCTTTGTATTAAATTATAAATGTTCCTTATGTATTTTGGATGCCAGTCTGATATTGGATTGGTATCCCTGGTATCTTTATATATCTGGTATATAATTTGCAAACATTTTTTTCCAAGTCCATGGCTTGCATTTCCATTTTCTTAAAGGTGAGGCACAAAATTTTTTAACTTTGATGAAGTCAAATTTATCTACTTTAAAAAATGATTCCTTATCCTTTCCTACTCCAAAGTTGTAAGAATGTTTCTCCTATGTATTCCTTAAGAAAACAGCTTTTGTTTTAATATTTAACTCTATAATCCATTCCAGGATGATGTTTATGTTTGGCATGAGGTTAAGGCTAAGGTCCATTTTTGTTTCCAAATGGATATACAGCTGCTGCAAAACGATTTGTCGAATACACAATTCTTTCCTCTTTGATCTTTTTGGCATCTGTTGCATTGACATATGGGTGAGTCTATCTCTATTTAAATTTTTTTTTTATTTTTAATTTTTGTGGGCACATATTTATGTGTATATATTTATATATGTGTATATATATATGTATATATTTATATGTATATATGTGTATATACACATATTATGTGTATATATTTATGGGGCACATGACAAGTTTGATACAGGCATACAATGTGTAATAACCACATCAGGAAAAATGGGTATCCATCCCTTCAAGCATTTATCCTTTGTGTTACAAACCAATTACATTCTTTTAGTTAAAATGTTCAGTTAAATTATTGACTACAGTCACCTTGTTGTGCTATCTAATACTAGGCCTTATTCATTCATTATATATTTTTTGTACCCATTGACTATCCCAACTTCCCCCATAGCCCCCCCTACTATCCTTCCCAGCCTGTGGTTACCATCCTTTTACCCTCTATCTTCATATTGTTTTGATTTTTAGATCCCACAAATAAGAGAGAACATGGGATGTTTGTCTTTCTGTGCCTGGTTTACTTCACTTAACATAATCACCTCCAGTTCCATCCATGTTGTAGATGATTAAATCTCATTCTATTTTACAGCTGAATAGTACTCCATTGTGTATAAGTACCACATTTTCTTTATCCGTTCATCTGTTGATGGACACTTAGGTTGCTTCCAAATCTTGGCTATTTATAAACAGATGTACAACAAACATGGGAGTGCAGATATCTCTTTGATATACTGATTTCCTTTATTTGGGGTATATACCCAGCAGTGGGATTGTTGGATCATATGGTAGCTCTACTTTAAGTTTTTTTGACTCTCTATTTTGATCCATTGATCTATATGTGTATCCTTATGCCGATTCCCCGCCGTCTTGACTACTGCACCTTTTCATGAAGTCTTGAAGTAAGGTAGGTTTAGTCCTTTAACTTTGTTCTTTTTTTGGTTGTTTTGGTTATTTTAAATTTTTTGCATTCCCAAATCAACTGCTACAAAATACCTGCTGGGATTTTGATTGAGATCGCACTAAATCTATAAATCAAATTTGGAGAATCCACATCTTAATTATATTGGGCCTTCCAACCCATGAGCATGATATATCTCTGTGTTTATTTAGTTATTTATTTCAGCAATATTTTATAGTTTTCAGTGTATGAGTCTTGCACCTATTTTGTTGAATTTTTCTCAAAGTATTTTGTGCTTTTTGATGCTATTTTTTCTTAATTTAATTTTGTGGTTGCTTGTTGGATGTAGAATTATAAATGATTTTTGTAAATAGAACGCATGTCTTCACTTTGTTAAATTCACTTATTATTTTTCGCAATTTATTTGTAGACTCTTAAGGTTTTCTATTAATACAATTGTATCATGTACAAATAAAGACAGTGTTAATTCTTCCTTTCCGGTCTATATCCCTTTGATTGCTTTAAATATAGTGAATTATATTGATTGATTTTTGAATGTTAAACTAACCTTGCATTCCTAGAATAAAACTCACATAGTTGTGGTGTATCATCCTTTTATATATTGCTGGATTCAATTTGCTAATAGTTAGTGAAAGCTTTTTGTGTCTGTGCTCATGAGGGGGACTGTTTTGTACTTGTTTCCTCTCATAAGACCTTTTTTTCTTTGGTTTGGGTATCAGGGTACTATTGGACTTATAAAACAAGTTGCAAAATGTTCCATCCTCCTCTATTTTCTAAAATTTTTTGTAGGATTGGTATTAGAATTCACCAGTCCACCATCTGAGCCTATAATTTTATTTGGGAATGGTTTTTAACTGTGAATTTTTTATAATATAAAAATTTATATATAAAAAATTCTAATATAATTTCTTTAAATGATACAGAGCTAGTCATATTTTCTGATTCTCTTTAAGTCTGTTTTTGCCTTTTGTGTCTTTCAAAAAACATGTTCATCTAACAGCTTCCCAGGGGAATATGGATGGGCCCCTTACCCTAGCCCTCCACCATCTGACTCTGTTGACCTGTCAGCCTCATCCTGCACCAATCTTCGGCTTCATAACTTCATCTGCAACCGGCTGCAACCTTTCTGTTTTTGAAACACATGAAGCTTTATCTTGCCTCAAAGCCTCTCTAGTGGCTCTTCCTTCTGCCTGGAACACTTTTCCTGGCTTTTTGTATAACTGGTTCCAGTATGACAACACCTCCTTAGAGAGGACTTTGCTAACCTTCCCTGCCAAAATATCTTCTACCTGTTGATTCCTTTTTGGCCTGTTTATTGTCCATCTCTCTATACTGCTCCAGTGTGAGGCCTAGTCTGATTGGTCACCTCTTTACTTCCAGCACCTAGAACACCTAATAAGTCTTCAAATGTGTGTTAATTAAAAACATGACTAAATGAATGAGGAATGAAAGTTGGATAAACTCTCTGAGCTTACAGAGAGAACCTTGCAGCGTTGAGGTGAAGATAATTGCGCTGATATCTACACTCCAGGCAGTGCACCTGGCACACAGGAGCTCAGTAAGTGGAGTGTTACACGATGCCAAATTCCAGCTTCCACTGAGATACCATGGTACAGTGGATACTGAGGGTATTTCACTGGCTACAGACGTCTTCTGAGGTTCTAAAAGTGCGAAGCAGTGAAGATTCAGAAATTATTTGTGATAATTTCTTTAAAGACAGCTGTACCTTCCATTACCCCCTTGGAGGTTGTATTAGTAGGCAAAATAGGTTAAGGCCAATATGACCCAGTTATAGGCTCCTCTTAAAACCCTTTCTTTTCTATTCTAGGTGCTACCTACAATTCCACCATTTCAACTTTTAGCTTTAACTTGTGGCTCCCAACCTTCCCAAATGCACGTTCTCTAGGGAAGAGTAACTCTTTACACTGAAACAAGTCAGTTTTACCCACTGTGTAATGTCTACTGAATCTAGGTGACCCAGGGAGAATGAATCGGTTTAATCCTTTCTGGGCGCTTGGGAACAGGCAGGGTAGGGCAATGAGGGAGGCCTTCTTTATTTTGCCAGGGACCAGCTCTGTTAGCCCCAAAGCAGAGCCTGCCTCATTCAGACAGCACTATCCTCAAGCCTGGGACTGTTTTCTGTTGGGTTAGTTACCTTCACTGGAACCCTCTCACACCTCTGGCTCCGGCTCACTTACCTCTTTGTTAATATATCCATCCTTATTGATGTCATACAAATTAAATGTCCACCTTAGTTTCTCATGGACAGTTCCTCTCAGTAAAATCGACAGAGCGGTTACAAAGTCCTGAGAAGGGGAAAAGGCAGGAGTGACATCAGGCAGGGTGAAGCTGTGTCTTTGGGTCAGATTGTGATACTCTCACAGAGTGGTGCCTCCCATGTCCTCTTGTCTGCCTGGAGGACGTGGCTATGCTCAGTGAAGAGCTCCTGCCTTCGGGTCCCTACCCTGCCCCATTTTTTTTGCCAGGTGCCCCCTTGAGGAAGAATGGAGCTCTGAGAGACACAGATCAATGCAGCCAACCCTGTTATTGCCTTATCCATGGCTGCAGTGGTCAGTCTATCATCCCAGTGGCCATATGGCCTAGTGGCTGAGGACGCAGACTGTAGGAACAGTCTGTATTGAGGGTCATTCTGCCTGCATTCAAATCCATCCTTTATTATTTGTGTGCTTTTTGACCTTGGGAAAACTACTCTCTCTCTCTTTGCCTTACTCTCCTCTTCTGTAAAAGGGTAATAAATAATAAAATGTTACCCTATAGGGTTATCGTGGGGATTAGAGTAAATGAGTTAGTACATCCAAAGCCCTAAGTACAGGGGCTGCCACTGGGAAGCAGTGTGCCCAGGAGCTCACACATTGTTGTTATTAGTCCCCCGAGTCCCTGAGTTCCTGCAGGCCAGGCAAAGTTGCTACTGCTTCTCCCCATCTTTAGGAAATGCTTACGAATGGATAAATGTGTCTTTGGTCTGACTGAGAGCTTTTGATGGTCCAGCCCTTCCCCCAATGCCTTGAGATTTAGAGGGGGAGGTGATGCAGAACCAGAGGACCCCTAGAGTGGACCCCAGATGAGCATACCTCGAACTTCACGGAGCCTGTCTGAGTGGTGTCGAAGGCATTGAAGAGGTAATGGGCATACGTGCTGGCATCTACAAGGCAGAAAAGGAGGGCAGGTGATGGGGGCAGGAATTCCACACAGGGAGAACCTTCCAAACAAGGCAGGGCTTCGACAAGAAAGAGAGGAGAGCGATGCTAGGGTGATGGAAAGAAGAAAATTATGGAGTGGGGCCCATTGACTCAACTCTTTGGGTTTGGGTGGGAAGTTAGATCTAGCAAAAGGTGAGATGAGCCCTTATCCCTCCCTCTAGCCATCGTGAGAAAACCTTTCTCCTGCCTATCTATGCACGGAATCGTCGGTGTATGAATGACACAGTGACTGCATGACAATGTTCTTCTGAGCGGCCATGCAATGCCTGGGATGAGCACGCACTCCAGAGTAGAGAAATCTGAACTTGGATGCCGCTGTACTACATAAGCTGTGTGACTGTGGGCATCAAACATGACCTCTCTGAGTTTCCCTTTCCTACCTCTGTACAATGGGATGGAGCAAGACCTATCTCTTGAAATTTGTGAAAAAGTATTTTAAACTAGAGCTATGCCTGGCATACAGTAAGAACTCAATAAACAGTGGCTTAGTGGAACTCAGAAAACTGCAATTCTGGGGCCTGCATGGGACAAAACTGCCTCCCGCACCTGATCTGGGTAGGGGCCCCGCACACCAAGGAAGGCGTCTGTCTGCTGCCAAAAAGGCCCTTGAGGAACAGGGCCCAAGAAGTGTTTGGAATGCTTGGATCTGCATTTTGTCAGGATCCGGGGAAGGTGTCTTGCAGGAGACAGCTCTTGGAGACAGGATGCAAGGTGGCATGTGACACATGGAGGCCACAGGAGGAGCCACTGATGTGGTCCCAGGCCCATGGGGACAGAGCTGGTTCCCGAGTCAGGCAGGGCGACAGAGCAGCTGCTGTGGGCCTGGCACACTTGTAACCTGGCTTAATAAGCACAACTTTATGTTTCCTGTCTCTTTTTCATTTAGTTTATTTTTATAGTCTTTGGTATTTACTGGAGTTCTTTTACAAAATTCCAGCTTGTCTCAGCTATTTTAAGGAAAAGAATCAAAAGTGCCCTGCACAATGGTGGCACCAGAATGGCAAAACTTGTTTCAGACCCTTATGGAATCTAATCCTGGTCTGCTACTCACTCGCTGTGCAACCTTGAGTACATTGCTTATCTTCCCCGAAACTCAGTTACCCCATCTGGGATTATAATACCTGCTTTCTAGAGCTGTTCTGAGACTTTGTGATGTTGCATTATCAGCCCTTCTTCCCCTTCCAGGGTGGGTTTGTTTTCAGAGTTCTTTCCTGCTAAAGCTTTGGAGACTCCCACCTCTCACGACGAGGGAGGTGTCCTGCTCTGAGTTTGCCCCTTCCTCGAGAAGGAAGCAGATAGCAAGGAAGAGTGGACTTGGAGGAGGGGAAGGCTATTCACCAGAGAGGGTGCTGGGCAAGATAGATTTCAAGGTCAGACTCACCTCCGTGAGGGAAAAATTGAGCATAGATCTGCTTGAATGTGTCTTCGTTAACCACACCACTGGGGCACTCCTGTGGGAAGGGGAGAGAGTCAGCAGGAGGTGTCTGAGGGCCAGCACTAGGAGAAGAAGACTGGGCCCAGCCTTGGTGTCTGGGGTTCCTCATGATCCCCAGGGGCAGGGACCTGTGCATTTCCACTTCTCCGAAGTAACTCCATCTCAGGACTGGAGCTGCTTTGCAAAATGATGAGACATTGTCAGAGAATGGGCACAGTGAGGTGGAGAGATTTGGGGCCTTAAGAGCAGAAAAACCTGGGTTTAAATCCTGGCTTAGCCAATAAATACTAAGCTTTGTGACTTTGGCCATGCCAGTCTCTGATTCTCAATATCCTTACCTGTAAAATGGGGCTAACAATACTTTCCCCAAGGGTATCTTATGAACCTATGTTAGGTGGTACTGAGTCCATGGTAGATGCCAAGCAGTGTAGATTTCTTCTCTTTTCTGGATGCTGTTCCCTCTGAGCCCAGTGCCTGCCTGGGAAACTTTCCCACAGGATCCTGCTCCAACTCGGCTGCCCACTGCTAATGCTGCCATCAGAAGGAAAGAAGCCCTGATGGTAGGAAACCAGGCACTTGGTATGTGCAATCAAGGCTAGTGTGGAAGGAAGAGGCATCCCAGCACCTGTCAGATGACTCCCAGGAGGGGCTAGAATCCCTGTGGGTCAGCACTTTGGAGAACAATGAGGCTGCGGTCAGTTTGGAATTGACCCAGCTCAGTTCTACCTATAGACTGCACCTGGAGGGAGGGTGACCAGGTGCACATTGCTCTAGCCCACTCCACTCCACACCACCCCAGGATTTGGGAATAAGATTGTGCTCTGAGAGTTAAACTTAAAAAAAAAATAGATTAATATCCAGGATTGCATCTGAGAGCTCTCAAGCTGACCTGAGAATGCAGGAACATATTAATGTATTTAAAGTAACAGCTAAACAAGGCACTCCCATCCTCTGACTCCACTTTTGATTGTAACCTGGCTTCCACGTGGCTTCTAAGGAGAGCGGGTCCCAGCGAAGGGAGAGGAGTGTCTGGTCCCACTGTCAGTTCCATTTCCTGTGGTAAATTAATACACTGACATTCGGCTTACACATCAGTGTCGGTGAGCCTGGTTAGCATGAGTCAGCAGGCCTAAATCCCATTATTGTGGGGGGCACCACCAAGTTGGAAGGTATGACTATGTTAAGGGTTAAGGCTTGACCCTGGGCTGGGGTGAATTCCCTGAGGATGTGCCACCCTGTGAAGTTTCTGGGCAGTTGGCCGTTTACTGTCTCCTGACTTTGCTCCATCCTCGCCTGGAGCCTTCCTTTCTAACCAGGTGATCTCCCTCTCATGTCCCCTTTATAGAGCTGGCCTTCCTTGTGTAGCCTTACATATGGGAAACTGCCTTATGAGCTCCCTTGGCATTGGGAAGAGCTTAGCCTTACGTGGGAAACCCCCCGAGGCCTTCAGAGCCTGCGCGGGTCTTACGTTTTTGAAGCCTCGATAAAGGACCTGCAGCTCCCTCTTGGTGAAGTTGGTCTGGGCCTCAAGCTGCTCCAGTCCCTCGGGCCGATGGCAAACCATGGTCATCTCCAGCTCATCTTCAATCTTATCTGGAACCAGAGGAGATGGCATTGGAATGGTTGAACTTGGGGGTCACTCTTGTTAGGTAACAATCTGGGCTGTCAAAAGAGTGGTGTCACGACCTGGGATCTAGGGCTGTGGGCTGGGGTTGCACTGCCAATGGCCTTCCTATCTTGAACCCCACTTCCCTGCCCTGTCAGCCTCTGTGTCAGACACCACATTGGGGCGGGGGGGGGCTTCAGCTTTGGAGAGAAACATGTTCCCAGTGGAGGCGAAGGCAGAAGTGCTCAAAATAAATCCATATGAAAACATTTTCCTTGCTTTAAAAATAACTTCTTTGCATATTCAAATTGTTTCCCATGGAAACTTCTGAATTTTCCAGAGACACAGGTAAGTAAGCAGAATGATAAACACCTCTAGACAGCAAAGGGAAACAAAATTATTGAAAGAAACAGTAAACTCTCACCATTTGGGCCAACTAGGAATGGATAGCATGATTTAGCAGAAAGTTCAGATTACGGCATGTTAAGTATTAATGATAAAAATCTGAATGTATTTACAGTTTATTGTTTTGTAATGTCTACTAGACATCCTTAAATACTAGGAAAATATCTTAAATGGGAGCTACTTTGTACAAACCATTTGAAGGGCTCTAACAACAGTTGTAAGTAGTAGTTTAAGTATGCCTCCCATATGGACTATAATATAATATAAGATTGCATTAGTTATGTAGAAAGTGTCTGTCAACTAAAGCAAGGAATCTGCCCATCTCCCACTGAAGGATCACAAAGTCCAAGTCAGTGGAATTTTCAACGTTTTACCATCACAGAGGGGTAGGTGAGTGATTTCCTTTGGACCCTGCCAGAATGCTTTCTATAAACTTACGCCAATCAAGAATCAATTGCCATCTAACCTTCTCTGCCTGTTGTTGTCATGCAGACACAACAAAATCCATCTATTGAATGACTGTAAATCTGGGCTGGCAAGAATAGTGATGAGACGGGCAGCTGCTGGGAACATGCTTAGACCATGTCTCACCCCGTGGCAACCCACAGCAAGCACAGGCTGAGTTTCCACATCAGAGAACAAGGTGAGCAGGTGCATTAAATTGTGTGCATTTCTCTCATCAGTGTTGGTCTCATTGCACCAGATTTTCCCTGCAATTGTCACTTTCCCTTTTGAGACTTTGATCCCAATACAAAAGGAATCCATCAAATTAAGTTTGTATCTTGTACATATCCCCAAAGGTGATGGATGTTCGTGTGAGGCTCCAGTAACTTAGTAACAACTCCTAATTGCCATCTTTCTCATATGCTGGGCAATGCATATCACCTTATCCTGCCGGGACTAAGGCAGACGATTTGTTATAAATTAGATATTGTTTATGCCACAGAGAGACAAGTGGCCAATTTCCCCAGAATTCATAATTCTTACAGAGCCTTTAATTATGGTTATGCTTGTAGCTAACAAGATAAGTAGCAATTATCTAAACGCTGAAGCATTTCTATGTAAACGAAAGGGCTTATTCTCAAAAAGAAAGAAAGAAAAGGAGAAAAATGCACTTCAGTCTAATTCAGAATGCTTATATACATATTAATATTTTGCATCTATTTTAACCCATTTTAACAGAGAAATTGTTGGTTTAAATCTCCTAGCATTAGATCTAAAAGCATTTTTATTTCTAAAATGCACATCTGTTTAATTGTGCATATATTCACAAGGAACTTCTGAAGGGGCTGCAGAGGTTTGCACATCCCTCCTTCTGCCCTTTAGGGATTCCCTGGGTACTGCCCAGGTGGCTTGAGTGAAGAGATGAAGCAAAAAATCACATTAAAATGCAAATAAAGAAAATGGAAATATTGTATTTTTTGAGTAAACGAGGCATTCTTGAAGACATCCGGTATACCATTAGATTTATCTCAGCCAGAAGCATGAAAGGGTTTTTGCGGTACTCTTAATTCCTTGATCTTCCTGTGACTGAATTCCTCACAAGCTCAGGGAAATTTCTTTGCGGGAGCTTGAGAGGCTCTTTCCGACTCAAGAAACAGCGCTTGTTTCCCATCACCTTCATAAAAAATGCACTAAGTAATTATTGCGATATCAGCTATTAAACCCACTTCATTAAGGAGGAACTGGACTTTATTAATAAATGAGTTGTTTGTTGTCTGGGCAGCAGGATCAATTTCCACATCAAACAGATTCTGTAGTATCTGCATATTTGGATACTGACTGCGAAGCTTTTGTTTTGTTTTTCGTTTTCATCATTGGCTAAGTGTCAGGCTGCGGTAACATCGGTTGTGGAAGGAAATTTACTTCTTTGGGGCTCAAGATGCTGGGAAGCAGCCTGCCTGTGGATGTTAAGACAGGGTTTAAAAGAGTGGCCCTGTCTTTCTTTCTTCTTTCTGTGACTGTAGTGAGAACTATAATTTATGTCACAATCCAGTATACACATATATATATGTGAAATGTTAATTAAATATTTTGAAACAAAAACTCCATGAAATGATCCCGTCCCTCACTAATGTGAGCTATGCTCCAGTCTGTTTTAATGTATTCCTTTGTAAACCCGTGCTGGTTATGACTCTCACGGGTCATGACTTTTGATTGGACAGCACTGATTTAACTTGTCTACAGCTGTGGCAACCTCACAGCGGTGCCCGCGCTGCCGCTCTCACATCAGCTCTCCCTTCCCTTTATTTGTATGTCTCATGGTGCTGGCCGCTGTAGATACATTCACAAGAAACTGTAGAGGTAACGGGCAGCGGTTTTCACCAACCTCCTGTTGCTCCCTGGGGGTTCCCTGGATGAAGCCCAGGTAGTCCCAGTAAAGGAAGGAGAATGGCCCAGTTCCCTGGGTGCAGGAGGAGAGAAGAGCGTGAACCCATGGGAAGCCTCCCTGACAGTTTCTTCTGAGGTTTGTTCAAAGTCTCTGATGCCAGATGTTGCTAGTCATTACTTTGTTATAAAAAATAATGATGAGCCAGTTACTAAGTCAGACTTGAGTTTGAATGGTTGAGATAAAAATTAACTTGAGATGTAATACTGTGGTGATAACTACATGACAAGAATAAATTAGAACACCTTCTGTTTGTAAAGTACTTTTAAGCCATTCAATGTTCTCATGCCTGTTGTTCCATAACCTTATGTGTGATGGGAGTGAGGGAACCATTGCCTGCGCATGTGATATTAAGAAGTGATTTTCTAACTGTGAGTGCCTCACACGGTGATGAATACCTATCACTAGGGGCAAAGAGAGATGGAATCACCGACTCTAGAGGATGCTACACAGGAAATTCTCAGATTGAATAGTAGATGATTTAGATTAACTGATCCTTAATGTTTTGGGATCATAGACTCTTCTGAGTGTGGAATGAAGGCTTTAGACTCTCTCAGAAAAAAAACGCACAGTCACTGTATGTTTGCCTATTCAGTCATGTGTCGCTTACCAACAGGGATCCTCTCTGAGAAATGTGTTGTTAGGCAATTTTGCCATCGTGCGAACATCGTGGAGTCTACTCACACACACCTAGATGGGGTAGCCTGCTACACACCTAGGCTGTATGGTGTGGCCTAGTGCTTCTAGGCTACAAACCTGTACAACGTATTACTATTCTGAATACTGTAGGCAATCATAACTCTCTGGTAAGTATTTTAAATATTTGTGTATCTAAGCATACTAAATTTAGAGAAAGAAACTATGGTGTAAAAAATAAAAAATGGTACAACTATTAGGACATTTACCATGAATGGAAGTTACAGGACTGGAAGTTGCTCTGGGTGAGTCAGTGAGTGATGGTGAGTGAGTGTGAAGGCCTGGGATGCTACTAAACATGAGGTAGACTTTAGACATACTATATGCTTAGGGCTATACTAAATTAATAAGAAATTTTTCAGTAAGAAATTAACCTTAGCTTGCTCTAACTTTATTTTACAAACTATTTGTTTTTTTTTTTTCAAACTTTTGGACTCTTTTGTGATAATACTTAACTTAAAATACACATTGCCTAGCTGTACAAAAATATTTTTCTTTATTTTCTTATTTTGTAAGCTTTTTCTCTATTTAAAATTTTTTTGGTTTTATTTTTTTTCTTTTAAAACTTTTTTTATTTGTTTTTTACAAATGAAGACACAAACACACACATTAGCCTGAGACCACACAGGGTCAGGAACATCAAGATGTCACTGGGCAATAGGGATTTTTTAACTCAGTTACAATCTTATGGGACCACAATTGCGTATGTTGTGTTGTTGATGGAAACGTCATCATGCAGAGCATGACTGTACTTTCAGTGAGTTTCTGTATTTTAAACACATCTAGCCCATGCTAAGCTATTCCAGCGTAGGAGATCTCTTCTAAACCTTGTCACTAACTGGCTTTGTCTGAGTCCTAAGTCACTGAGCAATGGGTGACAGATCTGGACCTAGAATCCAGTCAGTCCAGGCCCCTTTCATCATATCTGGTTTCCACATGTCCCCACAGTGGATTCTGCTTCCCTCAAGCACAAATTGCAAACCAGCTTGTAGCCAGCCTTGTAGCACCCCTGCTCCTACGAAGCTGTGTGCTTGTGTACCAGTTAGACCTGGACTGTGAGCAGTGGGATGACCCACACCTTGGGTCTTTTCCCCAGTGAGATGTCCCCTCTGTCACGCTCAGGACAGTGACCATGACCATCTCCTCGCTGGACTGGCCAATAGTGCCTCCCTCACGGTGTCTCTGGGTTGGACTTTATACTTACCCATGTAGCTTTTTTTTTTTTTTTTTTTTTTTTTTTTTTTTTTTTGAGATGGAGTTTTGCTCTTGTTGCCCAAGCTGGAGTGCAATGGTGCGATCTCGGCTCACTGCAACTTCACCTCCCAGGTTCAAGCTATTCTCCTGCCTCAGCCTCCCAAGTAACTGGGATTACAGGTGTACATCACCACGCCCAGCTAATTTTTTTTGTATTTTTAGTAGAAACGGGGTTTCACCATGCTAGCCAGGCTGGTCTTGAACTTCTGACCTCAGGTGATCTGCCCGCCTTGGCCTCCCAAA